TGTCTATAGTTGTTTCTCTCTCGCCCTCTCTCTCTCTCTGTCTCTCTCTCTCTCTCTCTTTCTCGCTGTATCTACTCCTATCCCCCACTCTCTTGCTCTCTCTCTCTCTATACATATATAGTTTATTTGTATGTGTGTGTGTGCTTTCTCTCTCTCTCTCCCTCTCTTTTTGTCATTTCCATCTTTCAGCCTCGCTCCCCCAAACCGCTTAATGCGAGGCCCCCTTGTCACTGGGGTCCTGCGGCTGTTTATAGCTACAGATCACACCTTTCCTAAGCAGGCTGGGTGTTCCTCGCAATGCCTTCGCGCCGCGGTTCTGGATGCTGTGCACAGTTGTGTGCGAGTAGGTGTTCTTGGGACCTCTAGGTCCCAATCCACGTCATGATCCGTCCTACGTCATAGCCAGTCCTACTTCATGGGTCGACGGCGTGTTGTTGGGACGGAGTCATCTATGTTTCAGTTGTTGTGCACACTGTGTCCATCAACCTTTTCCGAATGACCTGTGCTCGCTGTCTACGTCGCCCTCGTCTGCAACTACTTCATCCGATTGCAATTCCGAGGCGGTGGCATGTAGCGCAGTATGCCCAAATCTCGGCCGCATTTGCACAGGGGGCAGTTACTATCTTTTCTGTATCCCCACCAGCCCATCCAGGAAATGTCCAAGGATGATTGCCGTGCCGATCACCTCCTCAGCGGTGACCTCGCGTTGTGCACACCAAGTTAACATGTGGCGAAACATGTGGCGATGTCACAGGGGATCTGGCTTCACGGCGGCAATCAGCACACTGGCCAACATAGGGCCAGAATCGGCCGATGCAGTCTCCAACAATGGCCTGATTGGGGCTCTCTGCTGTCTTCTTAGCGCCACGTTGGGGCACTTTGGGAGATATCTGGGATCTCTTCGGATTCGGGGCTTGCGACCATCATGGAAGCCAACGACCAGACACGGCTCTTTCGAGAAGTTCAGATGCCTCGTCAACCCATTTGTTGGCCGTCTTGGGCCCTCTTGAAGGCATGTTGGATGTCATCCAGGCCCAATTTGGGACGCTTTGCGCCATCTTGGAGACCGTCTTGGACTGTCGGTCGCAATTTTGAGATCAAAGCGATCTTGGCTCAGGCATGTACGTTGCTGGGGTGCGGATTACTCCCTCCGGGGGACTGTCTCACCGTCATGGTCTCTATCCTGCAGATCCAGGGTGGGTCGGGTTCCTTGACCCGTTCCCCATATCCGCACTTCGGCTGGGCTCCCCGGATGCTTGGATCGCCTGGGCCAGAATGGATCACGGATGCAGGAGGAGGTAGGAGCAAGGGCGCCCTTGAGGGCGCGAAGTTATTCGCGTTGCGCGCTTCGCGGTTCGGCTCCGATTCCTCATCCTCTTCTTTTCCCCTGGGAGGTGGCGCGAGAGCGCGAAGTTATTCGCGCAGCGCGAAGCGCGAAGTTGGGAGCCCTTGTAGGAGGGAGAGGATGGCGGAGGGGGAGAGGGTGGGAGGGCGTTGGAGAGGGAGTGGGGGGCTGTGGAGGAAGAAACGTTCATCCAGTTACGAACACATCGCACTCATGAGGAATAGGAGTTGTGCCGTACGGCCGACGTATCAGGCACTGTGAAGGCCACCTCGGTATCGGATTGCGCAGGTGGAAATTACGCTGCAACAGAAAGCATCATCGGTATCATTCCTCGGCACGCGCGGCCTCTTGTAGCAGCCCTTTTCGCGAGCCTTCCAGACAGCGTTGGCCTCCCTCTATATTTCTCCCGTCAGGTTTTGAGACATGTTTGTTGTTGTTCTCTCTCTCTCTCTATCCCTCTCTCTCTATCTATATACAAGGCTGCATTGGTGCTGCGCGCCATGCATCTTGGTCCTCCGAGTTTCGCGCGCAAGCGGGGTGCGTGCGTGCGTACATGCGCGCATGCATGTATACACGCGCACTCGCATGCACGCTCTGCACATATATCTATGTGTATTCCACACATGTACACTGTTGTATCTGCGTGTACAGATTACATATAAACAGGTGTATGTATATTTATATGACAATCGCAGGTGTTTGTTGGTGCACGCACCTATATGTAATTATGGGTGCGCATAGACATGCGTATCTCAGGCGTTAATGGCCTGACCTCCTGCTCAGGGCATCTCGCAACTCAGAGGTGCGAGGGTCTCAGGCGAAAGTAGCCAGACTACTACGGGGCAATGCATCTCCGATGTCAGCGTTGCGAGGATGTTTCAAGCGAAAGTGAACTGACCACCTCAGCTGAGGACATACCCGAACCCGGAATTGCGAGGATGTCTCAAACGAAAATGGCCTGAACACCTCAGCTCAGGGCATCCCTCAATCCAAAGTTGCGAGGATGTATCAAGTGAAAGTGGCGGACTACTCTGCGGCAGGGCATCTCGGAATCCAGAGTTGCGAGGGTGTTCTAGCGAAAGTGGCCGGAACACCTCAGCTCAGGGAACCCCGGAACCCAGAGTTGCGAGAAGGTCTCAAGCCGAAGTGGCCGGACAACCTTGGGGCAGGGCTTCTCTTTGGGAAAAAATTGGAGGCCTTGTGAACATGTCGGGGTGCTACGTGTCTGATTGCTACGCGGCAAGGCGTATCCGAGGTTGACGTTGCGAGGATGTCTCAGGCGAAACTGGCCCGAGCATTATGGACCAGGGCATCTCCGAAGTCAGCTGTGCGAGGGAGTCTCAAGCAAAGAGTGGTCTGAACACCTCAGGCCGGAAGGTCGAATAACCCCCTTGCAAGAGCGTCCGAGCAGCACCATGGGAGCTTTCCAGCAGGTCGAGCAGCCCAGGAAGGGGCTTCCCAGCAGCCCGGGGAGTCCGACATGCGTTCGGGGGGGTGATGTGTCGTCTTCGGGCTGTCTTGGGGGCCTCTTGGGGCCCTCTTGGGAGCCTTTCGGGGTGCTCCTGAGGATCTCTTGGGGCCGTCTTGGGGCTCCCTTGGTAGTTTTCGGGTCCTCTTGGGCCGTCTAGGGGCCCTCTTGGGCCGTTTTCGAGCCCTTTGGGGGGCCTCTGGGGCCGTGTTGGGACGATCTGGGCCGTCTTGGGCCGTTCTTGTCCCGGAAAAGCGAAAACCGAAAAAGCCTGCGAAAACCATTGACAAATCAATGAATTTTGCCTCCTCTTTGAGGCCTCTTGGGGCGTTTGGAAGCCATGGTGAAGGTTTTGGTGTTCTTTGGGACTGTCGACGAGCTGTCTTGGGCAATATTGGAGGCCTCTTTGGACCTTCCGAGGAGGCCGGAAGGCCGAAGGAACCCTTTGCAGGGCGTCCGAGCAGCCCGGGGGAGGTATCAAGCAGCCCAGGGAGTCGGAAATTCGTTAGGTGGTGTGTGTGTGTGTGCGTTTTTTCCGAGGTCCCCGGCCCGATGAAAATATATGAACAGGAATAGATGTGTTCTCAGTATCTCTTTCTTTTCTGTTTTTTATTCTCTCTCTCTCTCTCCATCCCAGCTTCCGCACCTGGTACTTGCCCACTGTGCGTAGCCATTCCCAACCATCCTGTGGTGTTGGGTCCTCGTTTAGAAGAGACGGTCCCTGCGTCCCCTTCTCTCTTCTTTTCTCCTCTCCTCTCATCCTCCTCCCGCTACTCCCTCCTCCCACCTTTACCTCTGCCCACACTTTGGCACACCCCTAACACTTTTCGGGGCCCCATAGAGGGCCCCACAGGAACCTCCAGTGGTATGGTTCGCATGCCGCCTCCTCTGCAATTTGGCACACCCCTCACACGTTTCGTGGCTCCATGTGGAGCTCCACCGAAGGTCCCAGAGGCATGGGTTGCTATCGCCCACCCTCCACTTTGGCACACCGCTCACACGTTTCGTGGCCCCGAGGGGGGGGCTCCACCGAAGGCCCCAGTGGTATGGTTAGCATGCCACCCCCCTTCCACTTTGGCATACCCCTCACACGTTTCACACCCCTCGCACGTTTTGCCCCATGTGGAGCTCCACCGAAGGCCCCAGCGGCATGGTTCGCATGCCGCCCCCTTTGCAATTTGGCATACCCCTCACACGTTTCGCGGCCCCACAGTGAGCTCCACTGGAGGCCCCACTGGCATGGTTCGCATGCCAGCCCCACCTTCATTTGGGCACACCCCTCACACGTCTCGTGGCCACAGAGTGAGTTCCACAGAAGGTCCCGTGGCGGTGTTCGCATGCCGCCCCCTCTCCACGTTGGCACACCCCTCACACGCTTCCTGGCCCCATTGGGAGCTCTACCGAAGGCCCCAGTGGCGGTGCTCGCATGCGTTTCCCCCACCCAGCACAGACTTTCGTGGCCCCTAGAGAGGGAGCTTCACCGAAGGCCCCAGTGGCGGTGCTCGCATGCTGTTCCTTCGCCCAGCACAGCCTTTCGTGGCCCCCTAGAGAGGGCGCTGCACCGAAGGCCCCAGTGGCGGTACTCGCATGCTGCCCCCCCACACAGTACAACGCTTCGTGGCCCCATGTGGAGCTCCACCGAAGGGCCCGGTGGCTGTGTTCGCATGCGTTTCCCCCCACCCAGTACAGCGCTTCGTGGTCCCATAGGGAGCTCCACCAGAGGGCCCTGTCGCGATGTTCGCATGCGTTTTCCCCATTCAGTGCAGCGCTTCGTCGCCCCATAGGGAGCTCCACCGAAGGCTTCAGTGGCTGTGTTCGCATGCATTTCCACCACCCAGTGCAGCGCCTCGTGGTTCCAGAGGGAGCTCCACCGAAGGCTTCAGTGGCTGTGTTCGCATGCGTTTCCCCCACCCAGTACAGAGCCTCCTGGTTCCGTAGGGAGCTCCACCGAAGGCCCCAGTGGCGGCCCCGCCTTCTTGCGGCGCAGATCTCACTCTCCGCAGCCCCATATTGGGTTCCACCTAACGCCCCAGTGGTAGGGCCAAATGGCGGCCCCGCCCCATATCGGCACACCCTTCGTATGCTTCATGGCCCCATGAGGAGAGCGATACCGGCAACGACAGTACTCACAATTGTATACGGCTGGGTCTTTCGCCAGGATTCTTTGTTGTTGTTCGCTGATTGCAGGGGCCCGTCAACGCGCTGGCAGCGCACCCAACGAAGGACCTGAGCCCACCGGGCAATGGCACAACCTGTGGAGAAGGGAAGGATGTACGAGATAGCGGAGGGACGGCGAGCTACAGGAATCGCGTGAGCAGCGTCGGGAGGCGTGCATGGAGAGCATCGCGGAGTGCAGAAGAGAAGTGAGAACGATACGGGGGAAGCAGTGGGGGTGAGAGGAGAGGGGCAGACAGGACAGGCCGGAGCTGGTAAGACTCAGTGGGCATCGGGTGCCTTGAGACGGGGGTCAACGCAAACGGGGGTCAGCCAGAGGGCCCGATCCTGCAGGATCCTTCAGGGCCACATGCCGCATTGACCCGGGCTTGGGCGCAGGATCCTGCACGACCCTGCAGGATCCTTCGCATTGACCCGGGTTTGGGTGCAGGACCTTGCAGGAGAGGCTTAAGTCGGGCCTGTCCCTCTACAGTGGGAATATTCATGAATAGTCGAAAAATAGCATGGGGACGATTTTTCAATTATTATTATTATTTCTTTTTATTAATATTGTTATTATTAGTAGTATTATCATTGTTGTTTGAATAGTTTTCGAATATTTGTGGAGTGTGTTCAATTTTTCGCCGAAAATCCGCCTGTAGGGGAACAGGACCGACCTAATGCAAGGCCCGACTGACCCAGGTTTTGATTGACCCGGGTCAGGAGATCCCCGAGGGCAGAGGCGTGCGCGGGAGCGAGAGGCAGGGTCTGAAGATTGTGAAGGCTTTATGGTCGGTGCCGCCGACCCTGAAAGACATCGACTACGATTGGGAGGGGGAGGAGGAGGAGGCGGAGATAAGGAGGGAATGGGCGGAATGGGCGGGATGAGCACGCAAGTGCAAAACGCAAAGGACTTACGTGCACACTGACACGGCCTGCACCAAGGGGCAAAAGAGCGCAAGCAAGCGGCAGGTGCCGCAACAGCAGACTGCACGCGAGCTCTCCACGAACGACACCGCGTTGGGTCCCACCCCCAGGCACGGTCCCCAGGTGGCCTCCACGAAACGAGCCAAGGAGGAGGAGGGGAGAAGAAGAGAAGCTAACTGCAGCCACATGCCACTGTGCCGTCACGGGGGTCATCAGCCCACCGCAGCAGCAGAACTCCTGGCTCCACATCCAGCTCGCAGGGCCAGCTCGCTCGCCACCTACCACACGGTTTTCCGAGCTGCGTCCGCCCCGTAGGGCTCAGATTACGACACCATCGTGCCGCCCCAAGCCACCCGAGGGGGCGCCACTCCCCTCGGGTGACTCCGCACCCCAACGCACGCGGAGGTGGGGCACCCTGGCCGTGGGAGGGACGGGTGCGGGCTCTCCCCCTGGCCCCTACGGGCAAGCAGGGGTGACGATCGGGCTGCTACCCGCCTGTTTTCCTCCTGGCCCCCTACGGGCAAACAGGAGTGGCACAGGTGCCGCGGAGATAAGGAGGGAGGAGAAGGAGGGAGGAGTAGGAGGAGGAGGAGGAGGAGGAGGAGGAGGAGAAGGAGTATGAAAAGGACTCCCCCGGGTCAGAAGATCACGGAGGGCAGAGGCGTGTGCGGGAGCGAGAGGCAGGGGCCTGCGGATATGCGCTCTCCGCCGCCGGCCCCGCCAGGCCGGGCCACGCGGGGGACTCTGGAGCCGCCTCGGGGTCAAGCAGTGGCGAGGCGTCCTGGCCCGCCTATAGGCTCACCAAAGCATGTTCTCAGAATCTGTTGTGGTCTGCACGAAGTGTCCTTGGAACACTTCTGGCTGGGATTGGCTCGTTTTAGCACATCGGGCGTACGTTCTAAGAGCTTGATTTTTTCTTCACACATTTCTGGGCCTATAGGAATGCCGGGACGGTCGGTCCCTGCTCAAAAGGGTTATCTTGAAGTCGGGCGTGTCCCTCTACAGGACGAGAGTTCCCAAATAGTCAAAAATAATATGGGTACGATGTTTGGAGTGTTGATGCATCTTGTTCTTGATTATTTTTGGACTATTTGTAAGTTTTCGTCCAAATTCCGCCTGTAGGGGGACATGCCCGACCTAAGGCTATCTGTGGCAATATCGAGGCCGTGCACGGGCATCTCGGGACCATCATGGGTCTTGCCTCGAAGAAGAAGAAGAAGAAATGCGACAAACATGAATTTTTGGCGCTCCGCACGGATTTTTTGGATCCGCGCTGGGCCCCCCGCGGCGGCGCCTCCGGCGCCGCCCCTGGCGCGCTCCGCGCGCGCGCGCGCCAGGGAGGGGGGTCCAGCGCGGGTCCAAGAAATCCGCGCGGACCTCCAAAAGTTTATGTTCATGCAGTTGTTTCCCATCTTTTACTGTCAGGTCATAACAGTGAGCTTAGGGGCATCATGCGGCCACCTCAGGGGCCATTCAGGAGCGAAAAAAGGACGTACATGTACATGAATCTACGCTGGTTTCGAGAGTTCGCATTGCGCAAATGGTCGTATCACGCGGCCGGTCTCGCGGATCGAGGGGCCGTGTTCATGTACATAGCTGGGCGCGTACGTCCTTTGTGGGCTCCCCAGCCATGTCCGACTAGATAGGAAATCCTGGGCATTTTGGGTGCTGTCCTGAGGCCAGATCGAGACCTTTTTGGGCAGGCCACGCTCCCCCCTACAGTTGAAGAGCAAGCGCGGGTTTTCATCTTCAGGGGCCCTCCCGGGCATCTGCTCGGGCCTTCGAAGGTCCTCGGGGCTTCCTTCGCCCGTGTGAAGGCGGGAGGGGGGGGGGGGAATCGGAGACCGTTTTGGGCAATCCGGAGTGGGTTCGGGGGTATTCTTGGCATGCCTTCTCGTGGGGGGCCATCATTCAAACATATTTCGCCCTCTTGGCCGTCTGATGGCGTGCAGGTGTCAGAAGCCCTCTTCAGGGATAGTGGGGCAGCGGGGTGTGTCAGAATTCCCCCCGAATGGTCTTTGTTGGCGATGTCGGTCCCAAGCACACAGCAGGCAAGAGAGGATGGGAGAGACGGGAAACAGGAGACGGCACGAGAGATAGAGGGAAAGAAGCTCAGAGAGGACAGCATGCATTAGAAAAACACCGGTCGAGGACAACTTGACAGCCTTGCGCCCAGAAATTGGGAAATGGGGTCGGCGGGTCACACCTTCATGTTATCGTCGATCGCGGCATGTTCGTTATTGTATACGATCGCATGCAATATTCTGGGTCGAGTTCAGTTTTCTATCAGGAAGTTTTGAACTTGTGTTTCCTAGAGTGGCACTGGCCTCGCCCCGAAAGACGCAACCGCTTCTCCGACGAGGCTGTGACATGTGAGCTCCATCCTGCTTGCTCTCGTCCTCCGCCCCCTCCTCTCCCTCCCTCTCGCCTCCTCCAGAGTCCGCGAGGAGATGGTCGCGTCAGGAGGTCAAGATGGCACCGTGCGCGTGTGGCTCTTCGAGGGAGAGGGCAAGGAAGTCATGCTCTGGGACCAGAGCGAAGGAGGCGATCGAGAGAACGGATGGGGAGGCGGCAGAGCGAGGCGGGGGAGGAGAGCGGGAGCGGGAGGGGAAGGTCGAGGAAAAGCCATCCGCGTAAACGTCAGCTCGCGGAGCTCCGCCCAGATGTCCTGGATCGGTGCGGGGGCCCGCCGGCCTGGCCGTGCCAAGCGGGGCGCGCCCCGCGGCAGCGGCGCGGGGAAGAGCGGAGGAGGGATCGCTGGCACACGTGGAGCACGAACTCTCGGACCTCCGCGCGGGCCTCTCGGATCGGCGCTGGCCCCCCCCTCATCCTGGCGCGCGGAGCGCGCCAGGGTTCGGTCGGGCCCTGTCCCCCTACAGGGGGGAGAATCAACAGATAGTCACAACATCGTATGGGGACGATCTTCGTATCCTTTCTGAGTACGTTTTGGCAATGTTTTTTTTTTGTTTTAAATGTTTCGTCCAGCATCCCCAGGTCCGACTTAACGCTAGGGGGCGGCGCTGGAAGCGCCGCCAGGCGGGGCCAGCACACATCCAAGCAATCCGAGCGGAACCCCGACAGTTTGTTCATGCCGCGGGTTCTTCTTCTAGAGAGGGGGGAGGGAGGAAGCGGGCTCTTGTCTCCTGCGTGGTCGTTTACGTTCTGTCGAGAGTGAGAGGGTGCCGCGGCTGCGACTTCTGAGCAGGCTGTCTGCACAGGGCGTGGTATTGGAGGCCGGATGGATGAGGAGGATGAGCAGGAAGACGTGGAGCAGAACAACATGTCAGCCAGTCAGTCAGTGTACAGCCGTGCGCCCAAGGTGACGTATAGGCAATTCCGGGTGTGCCGACTGGCGCGCTCGCGAGCCTGCGGGATACTCCAACTTGCCACGTGCGCGCTAGCTATGGCCAAGGAGAGGACGAGAAGCGGGAGGGAAGGAGGAGGAGAAGAGGAGGAGAGGGGATAACGAGTGCCAGAGCGCGCAAGATTGGATTCCACATTTGCGTAAGCCTGTGCATCTTGAGTCCATTGGTCGTCCTACGCTTAGAACGAAGGTAATATGGAGACGTGCTGGTATGTTGAACAGTTTCAACGTAGCCTAAAATTGGTTGTGGAAATACGTAAACAGCAACTTAGATTCCACATGGGAGATTCCACATGGGTATGTTACAGGACAGTGTACTACACGGTGTAAATTTACATGCCGATTGTCACGGTAGCTCAGGGCGATCATGCGTCCTGCAGCGGCGCGCGGGATCGGTTTCCATGGTTCGGTGTTTGGGGTTCTCGCCGCGGGGGCGCGTCATGAATTGGCGCGGCGCGGGGCCTGGCGTCGCCCACGCGCGTCCAATCAATTATTGGCGAAGGGCCCGCCCATCTGCAGTTTTGCTTACAGTTTCTGTTGGAATTTCTTTGGGGGCCAGGGAGCGCGGGACAGGGGCGCGCCGACATTCGCCAGGGCCGCCGCGCGAGCGGTGCCAGCAGGATCGGGGCTTTCAGCTGAGCTTCTCGCGGGGCCACGACACGCGTGACAGTTGCGCAAATCATGGGGCCACGACGCACGCGAGCGGTGCCCAAGTACGCGCGCGGCCGCTGACGCTGGGACCTTTGGCGGGTTTCCTTACTCGGGCCGTCGAGCGCGCGAGGGGTGCGCAAGTGCCGCGCGCGGCTGATGCCCCTGGGGCCTTTGGTGGTGCCGCGCGCGGCCGCTGCTACCGCGGCCTCGACGGAGTCGCCCGCGGGGCCACGAAACGTGCGATGGGGTGCGCGAGTAGGGCGCGCAGCCTCTGCCACTGCGGCTTTCGGTTGGGCAAATGCTTGAAGGGCCTGCGAGCACCGTGCGCGGCCGCCGCCGCGGGGGGCTTCGGTGGGCCCCCCATCAGGGGCGACGGCTGGAACCCCTTCTCGGGGCCGCGGCATTTCTTCGCAGGGTCATCGCCCTTGAGGCACCGCCCCATGTCGGCGAACACTTCTTTGGCACATTGCCGCGGGGGGTGGCGCGGCGCAGACGTCATCTGCTGAGCCGCGCGGCCGCGCCCTTCGCCTGGCGCCGCGCCCCCGCCCGCCCCGCGCCCGCCTGGCGCCGGGAGGCGGCCGGGCTCTCAACCCAAGGGTTCATGGGGCAGGGGGGGGGGGCAAGGCCCCATGGAGCAGCCGCATTCCGTCGCGGGCCTCCCTGGGGTTCCGCGCCATTCCACCTCGCCCCCGCCGGCTGACCCAGGGAACAAGTCATTTCGCGTTTATTCCTCTTGCGTTTTCTTTGGTCGGGGCAGGCATATTTTTCGCGCGCGTGGTACGCATTTTTGTGTAAAAAAGTAGCCGCCTCCCCGGCCGCCTATTTTGAGCATTTGTTTGCGTAGTTGCCGCGCAAACACATGCTAAATAATAGACAAACAATTATGTGGAACACGCGCGCGCGGAGTCGGCGGGCGTCTCGTGCATTTCGGCCGCATAATTTCTAGATGTTTCAAGCGGGCGTGCCGGATTTCCCTGGGGATTGCGAATGCAGGGCTTATTTTGTTTGCGCATTTTCTGTGCATTTCGATTGGGGCACCGCGGACGCATCCGAAGAAATCGCGGCCGCCCGGGGGCCGCGCCGATCGAGGCCCCGCGGCGATTGTGCCGGCGTCCGGCGCGGAGCCTAGGGGGTATCTTTCGCTGCCCTGGGTCGCGGTGGCCATCTAGCAGCAATTCTGGGGGCCTTCGAACTTGCTGCCCGAGGCGCTGGCGCAATCGGCGCGGGCTGGGCCGGATACGAGCGGCGCCGTGGATCGGGGTCGCCGCGAGGGGTCGCGGCGCAGACGGCCAGGGGGAACAAGGGGGTTGATTTGAGAGGGCGGCGGGCAGGATGAAGAGCGCGCGAGGGGGAAGGGGGGGGGCGCGATCCGAGCGGGGGGGGGCGGGGGGAATGGGCGAGGGGCAGGGGGGTCCTCGTCGTCGGCGGCAGTCTGGGGGGCGTTCTTGTTGGCTTACTCGCGAGTCGCAGCGGCGGCAGCCGCGCGGGCCGCGGCGGCGCGCTCTTGACGTCGTCGGTGCGCGGGGGCACGCAGGACGTTTTGCCATCGGCATTCGCGCGATGATGGCACAGTGGCCATATGAGAGTTTGGATCGCAGGAGTGTCGGGTGGCCCACGGCCCCTTGCAGTGGCGAGTCGGCCTGTGCCTTCGCGGCCCGCCTCCGCTGATTTTTCCCCGCCTCGTCGCCTTGTCCCCCTCGCCCCAAGGGCCCGTTCTCAGCGGCCCCATCGAGGCTGTTCTAGCCGCCGCCTCCATTCAAGTTTTAGTCGCCCCCCATCCGTTCTTTGCGCCCCCTCTTCGCCCAGTGGTATTCTCCAAGCGATTTCGCGCGCCTGCCCCCTCTCCTTCTCCTCGCGCGCGGTTTTCATCGGCCCCGTCGTCGCTTTCCCGGCGCCGTCGTTCCCGTCGGTGGCTGCGCTGCTGCTTCTGCTCCCTCGCCTGCCTTCCGCCGCGCCCCCGCCGCCGCTGCCGTCGCAGACGCGGCGTCGGAGATGTGCAAATTCGGCGGGGTTGCGTCGTCGACTCGCAACCGAGGCGTTCGAATCGTCCGGGGTGGATCGCCCCTGCTCGGGCGCGCGCCGCTTCGTTTCGCGTGCGCCGCGTGCCACTGCGCAAATCCAACGATCGGTTGCTGCGCAAGTAAGCAGCGGGGGCATTTTTTATTGATCTCGCAGCGCGCATGTTTCTAATATGTTGCATGCAATGTATTTGTTTCTTTGGTTCCCAGGCTGTCCATGAGTAGCTGCCTTGCAATCCCACGCGACACTTTGCGCCAGAAAAGCGTCAGCTTCGCGCGCGAAAAGCCATATCGTGCATCTTTTTCTCGTCTGCAGAGCAGCGCGTGCAATGTAGAAGGGGCGAGGGGGCGCGGGCGCGACGATTGCCACTGGGGCTGCTCAGGGTGTAGGACTGGCGACCGGGGTGAGGAGGGATGGATGGATGGAGGGAGGGAAAGTGGAGGGAGAGAGGGGCGAAGAAAGAGCGGAGGGAGGGAAGAAGTAGAAGGGGTGGAGGAGGACGACGATGAGAACGCGGAAGGGGGGGGGGGAGGAGGAGGAGGAGGAGGAGGAGGAGGAGGAGGAGGAGGAGGAGGAGGAGGAGGAGGAGGAGGAGGAGGAGGA